TTAATTAGTAGTCGTCTGAGAAGTCGTGGGAACCGAAATTTGCACTGTCAATTTTCCGTCAAATATGGAAACTTAAGGAAACCCCTAATTCTCCCGAGTTCCTGGATCTCTGCGGAAACCACTAAAACGAAAAAGATTAACAGAATATGGATGAATAGAAATAACGACGAACATAGTATAGATAAGGAATTTGCGTAAGAGCTTTTCGTGATAAAGAGATTGACTGCTGTTACAAAGAGAATTGCGGAACTTAGACGTCAAAACGTTCTAAGGATCCGACTTGCTAGCCTAAACACCTAAGTCCTAAATTCGCCTAAACTAACAGCCGTCTTTCTAGGTCTAGAATTCGTCCCCCTGCTCTGTCCTTGGCCTTCTGCTTATATACTCCCCCCCCCCTCAGGCGGTTTAGTCCTTCCTTTTCGCCCAGATTCGAGTTTATTGGGAATCTTCCATTTTTCTCGAACCTTCCTTTTCGTGTGCGGAAATCTTCTATTTATCTTCAAACTTAACATTTATCTTGAAACTTGACATTTATCTTCAAACTTGACATTAACTTCTTTCTGCGAGTAAATCTTAAAACCGCCATTGTATCTTTGGGCTGGATTTCGTTTAAAGTCGCAAGTGGACTTTTGTCGCGAGTTTGGGCTGTCTGAGCCGTTTTGCGATAAAAAACGTTTTACGATTTTAGACGAGATCGTTTCCTGATACGATGCCGTTTCTATAAGATTTCTTGAGTTGACCACATAGTTTGACAATGCACGATGTTCCGTCTAATCATTGCCCGTTATACGATCTTCCCGAACTTTTACGAGAAAAGAAGACTTTTACGTTTTTTATCGTAAAACTTGAACGGTAAGACGGATCGAGACAAAACGAGAGACGTTTCAACCATGGTTCAGAGCATGATCGAGCCGAAGGACATATGCCTTGAGTCGAGGATGTGGGAGATCGAATCTCGGGATGGTCAGCTCGATGTACGGCGAGCTGGTTCGTGGCCACCAGCTCGCCATACGGCGAGCTGAACCAGCTGGTTCGGCTCATCGTACGCTGAACTGGTTCGGTCAAACCTGCTCGCGGTTTACGGTGGATGCGGTTTTCGCTTAAATTGGGCAATCGCATAATCTGTGATTGTTTCGTTTGTTCTTCCGGGATGACGATTTCCAAGTTTTCCGCGGATTTCCTTTGTTTTGGAAAGTCCGTAGAGTTTTATAAAAAAATTCGCGTGTTTTATAAAATGTATTTTTATTTTTGCGGAAAGAAATAATTTTGACCTCAACGAAAATAATCATAGATGTTGATTTTGAGATGACCGTTTTTGACACCAACAGAAGTCTAACACAAATTCATAATGCATACACATAAAGCCTGGACGACTTAGTAGAAGACTTGTAATTAAGTAACACAAATTCTTAATACATATATTGATAACACAAATTCTTAATACATAGATTCGTAACACAAATCTTCAGGACGACTTAAATAAAGGTCATTCTTTGCATTGTGCTTTTGTATGGTCAGTTCTCTGCATACTGAGCATCTATAAACCTTGTGTTGCTTCTGGGGTTTGCGTCCTCTCATCCGGGATAGCTCCAACCAAGATTCCAATCTTGATTTCTTATGTCTCCCCGGGCCACGATTTTCGGCCGGAGGATCACGTGTGCGTTCCTCAACTTTTTGTCCAGCACAAGGATATATATTCTCTGAGTATCCTACAAATAAATAATTCTTTGAGTACACTGGATGTACAAGTTTGGAGATATGCACACGAGCATGTGATCCAGCAGCTATAGCATGAGAGCAAGGTAATTTCTTCACTTGATAGACACCACAATCACACTTTCCATTTTCCAAATCAACCACACAGTCCATTTTGCCACCTTTCACAAAGAATTTCCATCCATCAATTGGTTGAGCCCTCATCGTATCCGCTATCTCCGATCGAACAGCAAACAAGTATACACCCCGACTATGATCTGTTAGGAGACTCAAAGCATCTTCTCTCCTTTTCCAAAACCACTTTCCTAGCTTCTCCCTTATGAACTCCAACAGGAACTGAATCGGAAATCCTCTAGCTCGCTTCAATGCGGAATTAATAGATTACGCGATGTTGCTTGTTTTTATGTTTTACATGTCCCTCTGACAATAAACCCTTGACCATAGACTAACGTCTGCATTCTCCACATACGTTGCAAGGTCCGGGTTTACACTCCGTATCTCAGTCATTTACCGGTCAAAATCTGAAACCATATGAGCATAAGCAGCACCTTTCACCAAGTACAAGAGATGTTTCCCTTTATACATTTTGACAATGTTATCTTGAAGGTGATAATAACATATTTCTCTGGTTTCCCAAGGAAACACCTTATCACATGTAGTTTTAATGGCCGTGTGCCGGTCACAAACTATCACCAGAGGCTGCTCATCAAATACACAAGTAGTCAATTTTGTGAAAAACCATTCCCATGAAGGTTCATCTTCAGCATCTACGATCTCAAAAGCCAATGGAAATATCTGAAAATTCCCATCTTGTGCGGCTGCAACAAACAAAATACCTCCATATTTCCCACTTAGGTGAGTCCCATCCACCATAATGACCCTTCTCTGATACTCACTTAGGTGAGTCCCATCCATTTGATAAATGGTGAAGTTCATGATGCATGCCATACCAAATCAGAACCTAAGGGAACTAGTTTGGGAGATATTAACGAGAATAGGTATTTCTCGGACGGAACCATGGTTTATTATTGGAGATTTAAATGAAATTAGAGGTAATCATGAAAAACAAGGAGGTGCTCTTTGGCATGCAGATACATTTGTCGTTTTTAATAATATGATAGATAATTGTGGCCTAATGGAATTTCCTAATCTTGGTAATACTTTATCATGGAGTGGGAGAAGATGACGACAAGTTGTTAAGTGTCGATTGGACCGGGCACTGGGAAATAATGATTGTCATGATTTGTTCCCATGTTCTTTTGTTGAATATTTATGAATGGTGGGCGCAGATCATAGACTGATTGTGGCAATGATTGAGGATAAATTCATTAAGTTTAGAAAATCTTTTTGATTTGATAAAAGATGGATAGAAGAAAAGGGACTCATGGATTCAATCTCACGAGGATGGAACTCTGGTCGTGCAAGGGAGAAGGAAGGAATAGTGGCCATGATCCATTGGTGTAGGTATGAGATTTCAGTTTGGCAGAAAAATAATCCACCATATGGAAAGGAAAAATTTGAATCTCTCCAAAAGGCTCTTAAGGAAATTAAAAATGATTTTACAAATTCCAACGAAGACGGATTGGAGGTTTCGCGAAAATTATAAGAAGCATATCAAGATGAGGAACAATATTGGGAACAAAAATGTAGAACTAAGTGCATACTTGTGGGGATAAAAATACAAAATTTTATCATGCTTTAACAAAATAAAGACGAATCCAAAATAGGATTATCAGACTTCTTACTGAGGAGGGAAATTGGGTAAATTCATAACCAGAGGTGGAAGAAGTGGTTGTTAAATATTTTAATGATTTATGTCGTACGTCATCACCAAAGGAGTTTGATGAGTTTTTTGGAAGAGGTGCCGACTCTGGTAACAGAAGCTCAAAATCTTAGGCGGTAAAGTTAGCACTCTTTTTGATGCATCCAGAAAAAGTCCTAGATCCTGACGGGATGACTGCGCTCTTTTATAGCAGTCTTGGTCGATAATTAACACTACAAAAAAAAAATATATTGATAGCACATTATTATAGCACGTTTTAGCAAACTATTATTGTAGATGAGTTTGAAATCTCTGTACTATATAATAGCATCAGATTAATGCTATGGTAAATTTTTACTAAGAGGAAACAAAATTAAGTTTTAGAGCCATATTTTTTCAGTAGGAGGGAACTAAAATTCCTTTTGGAGCCAACACTTGAAAAATACTAGACAAATTATTTTTCGCAGTTCTGTGTAAACATCAGTGGTGAGTAATCAACAATCTCTCCCATCCGCCATCGTTCGTCACCACCTCCACCACCATCCCTTCTCAGAGCTGCCTTCGCCGGTGTCTTCACGGGAGTCAAGACCACTACCGTTACGTTCGTCCTCTTCTAAGATCTGGGTATTGTATAAGCTCCATGATTATTGAAACTCATGGGATTGCTCAGTTCATCGCTCACCTGGCCAGTAGTTACCGACGAAGAATTTCTCTCCATCAGTTCGTCTCTCGTCGATCGCAGTGAAGAAGAAGAAAGGACCCTAAATCGAATTTGGGAGCTACATCAATGGTGTCAATGCTGGCTCACAGAATACTCTACGTGCTAGCCATCTCGTATGAATCCCCTTCTCTCTTTTGTGTTTTTGTTTGAATGTCTCCTGGAGTTTTGGGAATCAAACAATATTCTCTTCACTCTCTGGCTCTTTAGGATTTGTGTCTGAGATCAAAATTGTACGATTCAGACCAAAGCTTTTGGGCGATATTTTTCTTAAAATTTTTAAATTGTAGATTGAGAATGGAATATGATAGGGATTCAATTCCATCTGGCTGATCGATTAATTGAGCTAGTAAAGCTTGGATAGATAGATCCCAAACTAGGAACCCTCATATGAAGGAGAGTTACATGATCTAATCTTGAAAAATCATGCGTTTCTGCAAGTTTTAATTTTCTCTTCTTGCGAGTCTTGAATTCTCTTTCATTAGCTTCCTGATGGTGTGTATGTTACTGATAGCTACCTCTCTTATTTGTGTGAGGGAGAGTTTATCATTGCCATGCCACACTCGATAATAGTTTTATTTGTGTGACTGATAGCGTTTTTGCAAGTTTTAATTTTGAATCCCTTCAATTGGCTTCCTATGGTGTATGTATGTTATTGATAACCCTCTTACTAGGTTTTTTCAGGGAAAGCTTTGCAGGGATCTCATCTCTCTGGATTGCAGTCCCGTGCTATTTTTCTCTGTAATTGGTTCAGATGACGAATAAGAGGAGCAACTTGCCAAGCAAATCTCCAAGGACTGGAATATGACTTGTGTGAACGAACGCAGCAGGTACGTAACATCACTTGTGGCCTTTTTCTTGGTAGCATCAGGCTCGCTGCAGAAAGCTGTGCCTAGAGATGATGAGCAGGTGGTGATATGACATGTGTGAGCTTTTTTGCTTTTCTCTCTGCTTTTGTTCAGAGTTTCATCGCTCACTTTCCGTGTTGTACCGAGTAGTCAAAGTCACAATGAGAATGAGGTTTTAGTCTTTGCTCAATGGTGTTAAATTTTTGTACACTCAATTGTTTCTGTGGATGCTTCCAATTTTGTGTAAAACTTGATGCTGTGAAGTAGAATCTTAGCTTTCTTTGGTGGTGTTTGCTTTTGCCGATCAAGAGGAGCAAGACAGTTTGGGGATGACGGTTACTGGTTTGGTAGTCCAGGGCGGCATGAAAGGCAATACATTTCACGAGGATTATCAGTTAGTATTTGGCTGAAGATGGAGTGACATGAACAATACACGGAGCTCGAACGATATAAGCTGAGAAGTATTATTTCTTCAACAGACCAATACACAAGCTTTTTAAAAAATTGTATGATTAACAGATGTAAATCATATCAGGTCTATATTTGTTGAAATAAGTATTTTTGGCTTATTATTTATCAGTTTTCTGTATCACATGCAAAGGTGTATCACATCCAAAGTGAAGAAAAATTAAAAAAGACAAATCAAAAACTGAAAAATGTGTGGAAGTAAACCAAAGAATTGTAAATTTGTAATTTGGTTTCGGTTAAAACTAAAAAAAATTATAGAAGTAAACCCTAAAGTAATCCCTAAACTAAACCCTAAAATCTAAACTTAAATTCTAATATTTTAACATCAAATCTTAAATATATATTAAAAACTAGGGTCGGTCCGCCCTTCGGACGGGAAGTTAATAAAAACTATTTTTGTGAATTATATTAATTTTAGGAAGCATTAAAATTGGTATAGAATTAAAAAAAAATATTATAAACAAACAAATTATGAAAGAAGTCTGAGATCCTATTGTTTTTTTTTAAATATTTTTGGTATACATAATATTTTTATTTGATACTAAAACCAATTTACGGAAAATTTTGTGAATATTTAATTTATCCTCCATTATATGTAACATTAATTTTTATTATAACAACTTTCACTATTTGTGTTATTATTGTCCTTCAACTATTGAAACAATTAATGAAAATGTAATTATTTTATTTTACTTTTGATATCTGGTCTAGTTTAATTTTGAAAGGAATTGAAACAGTTATAATCAGTTGGATTTAACACAAAAAAACATAGATAGTTTCTTTTGATATGTTTAGTTTTTGAATTCAGTTTCGTTTTATACTTTTTATTAAAATGATGATTTATATAATATTAAAAAATATAACTGATTCATTATAGAAAAAACATATTTTTAGTTAAGTACGCAACAAAAAAAAACTAATATTAATTGTTTCTAATTTAGAAAAGATACATGTTTGTTTGGATTTGATCAAAAATCTGATCTGTGTGTTTCAGTGGAGTATTTGACCAAGCATCAAATCAATTTGAATACATCTAAGAAGCACCACACTTGATATGTTGAACATTGAAGTAACATTCTTTAACAGGAAAAACTATAGGATCTAAGTCAGTTGTAAACCAAATCTGCCCAAAACCTCTGACCCAATTAAACAGAGGCATGCATAGCCTTGAGCGAATGAATTTCAATTTCGTGGTCTTACGTTTTTTCTTAAATACAATGAATTTATTTGCCAATGAGCGAATAGCATATGTAAAACTATTTTGGTCTAATTATATATGTAACTCAGAAACTAATAATTCTTTTCTTGTGTACTTTGTAAGTTGTAAGAATACGACCACTTCTGGTTTTAAATTTTGTTGCCTATACGATGTGTATATCACTTGTGACTACTTTTTTAATATTTGGAATGTTTTTATTTAAAATAGAAGAAATTTGTATTCCCTCGACCCGTGTCCGAGCTCGTCTGAGAGCTAGTAAACATGTGTTGATTTTGCCAATTTTTTTAAAATGTGAATATATATTCTTAGTTATTTGTGAATGTGTGTGATGTCTATATGTGGATTTGTGTGATGTTTATTAGTGGGTTTTCATTTTGTGTTTGTATTTATGCGTACAGAACTATATAATTGTATTGTTGATTTTTATAGATAGTCTTCTCAATTTATGCTCAGACTTCAAATTTTTACTTTTCTCGTAACAAAAGAAATTATGGAATTCATTTATTCTAGGAGAAAATAAAAAAATCATCAGCGAGAAATTACTTAACATAATTAGTTAGGCTCATTAGATTCGCAAAATTACAACACCACAAAATACTAAAAACACAACAATATAGAAGACAATTCTAACAATAAAAACGAAAGAAAAAAAAAAGCAGGTAATATGAAGAAACAAAACGCATGGTTTGCAGTCCAAGTAAACTAATCCACCATTTTATTGTCTTGCTCCTCATCATCTCCTCCAACACCTCAACCTCTGCCTTCATCACCATTTATTCCTCCTCCATTACATTCTCTTTCAGCCATTCCTCATCATCCCCATATTTTCAGGTTTGAGGCTCATCTCACATTTCACCGTGTCAACAAACCATTAAGTGCCAATACTTCTTTTTCCACTACCCACATCGATAAATATTTCCCTTTAGTAGCTCCCAATGTTTAAGAAAACCAAAGATCAAAAATGTAGATTGGGATTTCAAAAGTGTTACTGTTTAGGGATTATGCTCTCTCTCTTGAGCTATCTTCGGCTGCGAACTGCTTCTATTCTCCGACCATTCAAAAAAGTTACAATTTGATTCACCATCTCTTTCACTATCATTCCCCCCAAGAGGGTTTTGCACCAGTGGATCTATAAAGTGAAATCAAATTCCTTGAATGAGCTCTCCTCCTCCAGATGTACATTGATGATTCTACACTATTCGAACATCTCCACAACAGCATGCTCAGAAGAAAGATCTATTGACTCCAAGCAAGTAATCTACTGAGAAGTTATCAGACGTGATGCTTCTAAAGAAAATCTCCAAGGCATGGACTCACATTCTGTAGACAGAACAATGTGATTCAGACGCAACTTTAAAAAAATGGCTATAAAATTTAGAAGTTTTTACTATACCTTTGGAAGAGCTTCAACGTATGCTTGTGGAACTTCTATTTCAGCTAAAGCACTGTTGTTGATTGACATACACGGTTTCAAGATTTGGTTAGTTAAATTATGAGTGTGGTCTAACTTCTTCCTAGACTGCTCAGAGAGTCCATCAGATGGCACACGTGGCAGAGGAAGCCACCATTTATCTTCTTAATATCATATAAACATTCAAATCTAAAGCTAATTACCGTAGAGATTGGTAATAATGTTAGATACGGCAAGACAAACACCTTCACCAGAACCTGACATATCTTCACCAAGCAGTAGCTTCGCCATCATCTCTTTCAACTACTCAACTTCTGCACACAGAAATAACAAAAGTGTCAAACCCTTTTTATGTAACAGAGAGAAAGTGTGGTCTCTTTGGTGTTCACATGATGAGTGATCTTAAGTTTGATCAAAATAGACAAAAAACACCATAGCTCGCCAAAATTTGAGAACTATACAATTCAAATGCATAGATCGAAAGGAAGACAAAAAACACCCTAGCTTGCCGGATTTTCATAAAGATATGATTCAGAGGCATAGATAGAGAGATTTCTTACATCAAAATCCACCATGAGCATATCAAGCCAAATGAGCTCACCACGACGCTTGACATTCCTGCCTCCCAGATACAGAGCAGCCTAACCTCGACGGTGGATTAGCACTTGCCGAACTTCAGATCTGAAAAAAAAACACTCTGGAGTTAGTCATTTAGATGATATTGAATAGTGAGATAAGAGGATGGCTTCCATAGCTGGAAACATACCTATTTATATACGATGAGAGACCGACTCTCAGTAGTTCACAAAGCATTGATGTCAAGATCGTGGATTTGTAACTCATGCACTTTGGTCTGGACGGAAAGGAAGTTGAAGAGGTTGATGAGTTAAAAGGCAAAGACAACAGTCACACAGAGATAACAAAGCTATCTTCATGGCGGCTGAGAGAGAAGACTCCACGAACCCTAACCATTGTTACGGTTTCTTACGGAGCGTATCAGAGAAACCAAGCTGGTAATAAACGGGCTGACAACAATAACTTTAGGCCTAAATAATTTATGAAAGCCCAACCGATTAGGGACGAATATAAGCTAAAAGCAGCGTTCAAGAGGAATGTGACAAATGTTGGTTTCAGAGAAAGTGATTTAGTGACGTGGAGGGAGCAGGAGGGAGAAAACCCAACTTTATAATAATAGATATTATTTTTCAAAATATAATTTCAAATCTTCAAAATTCTAAACCTCAAATCTTAAATATTTTACACTTCAAACTCTAAATCTAAACTATAGTTTTAGTTTTTCAAGCTTGAATCCATAATTTAAAAAGAAAACTCCAAAGCATTTGGTATTTTATGATTTACGTATGTTTTATTAGAGTATAAACTCCAAACCATATTCCTAAACTATAATTACTTACTTCATACCTTAAGTACTAGACACAATTTACGACACTAAGTTTTAATTCATTATAAATTCCAAAACAAAAATTATATATTATAAAGTCTAGATCTTTAACTAAGTTATAAACCACAAAACATAACTTTTTAAAATAATAATTCTAATCTTAAATCTTTAACATAAACTCTAAACTTTAAATGTCAACTTTAAATGTTTTTCAATTATACTTTTAACTTAAATATTTAATAAAAGTTTATTAAACATATAAACTACAAAAAAAAATTTCTCAAAAGATTTTTATACATTAAAATTGACCACTAATAATTTGTGTATTAAAATAAAAATAGAATAGGATAATAGTTATAAAAGTCTGATTGGTCAAAAAAAAATGACCAATTATGTACAAGGGTGAGGATCAGGCTTTTCTTAAACCACATCCGTTGATTAACCTTAATCGAATGGACAAGAAATCACAAGGTGTAAAAGATGTGTTCTTCTCTCTCTCCTCTTATCTCGTCGATTCTGCTCCTTCACGCTCTTTGCCTCTGCTCTATCTCTCATCTTCTTCTACATTGTTTGAACCGAGTTCGGTCGTGTATCAGTGAGGTGAGTGACTGGACTCGTCGGTGGGTTATTACAAAGGTATAAGTAAAAATGAGCAAAGAGAGGTTTTATTTATAATCGGGAATGAGTACAAAGAGAGTCCCCGGTGCTCGGAGAGCTCAGCCGGAGATAGTGTTCGGACTAGACTGTGACAACGAAATAAGCAAGGTATGAAACCCTAATCTAAGTCGCCGCATAGTGAGTCTATTTTTCTGGATCCCCTCTTCGTGCTCTCCTCCTCCTCTTTTATAGCTTGACCTCTCTCTCGATCTTGACCTAAGTTGGTGCTGACTAATGGGCCCCTGGTGTTGGGCCTTTTCTCGGCTCGGTAAGATGAGCTTCTTACTCGTACGGACACCACTCGGGTATCAACCAATTACCCGTCATTGTTGGCGGTTCGTCCCTTATTGGGCCGAGTATGATTTTCTTTGGGCCCTGAGGGGTGGGTACAGCCCACCTCCTACATACATGCCTTCAACAAAACCTGTCTCAACCACCATCGATCCTCATCTATCTCAAAGTCCTCAGCGAGTATTTATTCATCAAAATCATTTTCCTTAGCTATCTGTTCGAATTTCAATAAGCACTAATTTTCTCAATTTGTGGAAATCTGTTCGAATGTTTTCAGCAAAAGTAGCAAGAGAAATATTTCTGTTGTAATTGTTAATGTCTCTGAGTCATTTGTTTCCAAGGCTGAGATGAAGAAGTTCGTTCACTTCCTCTTATCCTTTAACTGTGCGCTTATTGCAATGGAACATACTTTAAAGTGTTGAACTTTTTCTTCTTTTGGTTGCAGATTGAGATGCTTCAAGATTCTAATCTGAAGCCAATAGTTCTCAGGTAACATGTATAAATGGTTGTTCTACTTGGTAATATATTACTAAGTTTTGTACTTTGGATTGTTCTTTTCTCAAGGTTGAGACGAAGAGAACAGATCCGGAGCTTGTCGACAGAGTGGTAGAAGAAGCTTGACGACGGAGGAGACAAGCGTGGTCGTGCGGTGGAGATGCGAGCAGCATGGTCATGGTGTGGTGAGTGCGGCCGAGATTGAAGAACATGCATGGTTTGGTGGCTGTATTAGGTTTAGTTAGGGTTAGTTAATAAACAATGTAAACAAAATTCAACTTATAAATGGATTTACCTTTTTTTGTCAACTAAATCGATTTAAATATAAATTAATTTCTAATTTATTTTTTTTAAATAAATATATATTCTGGATAATAGAAACACACACACACACACACACACACACACACACATATATATATATATATATATATATATATAGAAATAAGCTATTGCTATTATAGAAGTCATTACCATAACATGAAATATGTATTGTAATTAATTTGTAACAAAAAATAACCCTGCCATAGATTTGTTAGTAACATCATCCAATAATTGCTATCATAAACACATATTTCGTAGAATCACAGAAAAATGCTATCGTAGAAGGAATACCTATGATTGCTGCCGTATTCATAGTATTTGTGAATTCGCTATCAAACATCTAATATAACATATAACCCGTGCTAACAATGTACATATTTCTTGTAGTGTAAGAGTGATGTAATTTCAATGGTTAATGAATTTCAGAGAACGGAGCGTTTTTATGGAAGACTTAATGTGAAAAATATTTTTATTATTCCGAAGACAGCGAGACCAAATCGAATGACCAAACTTCAACCAATTACTTTGTGTAATGTTGGCTATAAAATCATTTCAAAGGTGTTATGCCAGAGACTAAAAGGATTGCTACCAAATGATATACCATGGATTTTACCCATTTTAAAATCATGGTATATAAGTGTTTTAAGATATAATTACTATGTTTTAGAGTATTTTTAGAGTATTTATAGGTTCAGATACGTTCTGGAGAAATATGGTGATTTTGGAGTATTGTCTCTGCAGAACTGCACAGATGCGTCAGATGTCTAGCTATGGCGTGGGGTTATATATACCCTTATATATATGCCCTACATTTATTTTGCTTGATTTGATATACACAAAAATTTTACACCAAAAAAAGAAAAACTCTTTTTGAATGAGTTTTCAGTCCATTCCGGAAGTTGACGTCGAGTTTGACCACGTAAGTTTGATGTTCAAATAGATCTGAGTTTATTGCATAACTTCCGTCTGAACATTTGACGTCGGTAATGATTTTTACTTTATTTTAGATCATTGATTTACGTTTTATTGGTCCTAATTTCTAAACGGAGGTTTCACCTCAATAATTATATTAATCCATTATTATTGAAAGTAGGTAGGAATAAAGGTAGATCAACTACTTTTAAGAACCTTAACTGAAATATTTAATTAGGGCAAGGCAAAAAAAGGCAAAGGCAGGAATGCTTGTCTGGAAGTAGAGACCTGCAGATGCAGCCGGTTTCGACTGGACCACGGTCTCCAAGTGAGCCATCAAACGTTCTTTTTAGTTCATTATAGCATTGTGTGATGATATCTTGTTGGCATAGACCATCAAATACTTGTCTTCTTGATGTGCACCAAGGTCTTATCTCCGCAACGGTTAGGCTTGGGAGAAAGGAAATTAATACACACGAAACCAAGAATATTGCAGGCAGCTTCATCTCTTTCTTTTTTCTCTCTGTATGCTGTTGTGACTTGTGACAAATAATATTCTACGTATATATAATATCTACGCATATATGATATGTGATTTAGTTATAAACATGAACGTCTGACCGTATTTCTAAGAAAAACATTAACGTTTGACCGTATCTTGTGTTTTAGGAAATCCAATGATGTGAAGACCAAAAAAAAGAAGAAAAAAGAAACAATGATCTCACTGATAACAATTTACAATAGTCAAGATACAAGATAAGGCCAAACTTTCAATTATTGATGGAATTACAAGTAGTCAAGACATGCAATAGATTACATTCCATCCTTATAATTTACACTTTCTATTTTAATAAATAGACTAGATCTTGACCTGCGCAACTATGCGGATGTTCTTTTTCAATTTTGTAAACATATATATTTATTTCAGTGCATTAGTGGTATACAATTTCAACATTAACCATATATTTAAATGTTGATATACCTATTTCAAATATAATAATTTTATAGTTTATATAGTGTAATTAATCAATAGTTTAAAGCCATCACATGTAATTATCGCTTTTTATTATATATTTATGTTAATGTATATACTAAACATCATATTTGAAAATTATTTTGTATCAAATTTATATTCAATTCTGACCCACCAACGTTTAGAGTCGTATTTCCTTTTAACAATATTTTTTCACATTTATTCATTTAAAAATATATTCTGTGTATATACAAAAGTTTAAGATATGTCAATTTTTGTAAATTTATCATATAGTTTGCGAATGTTAAGTCGTTATGTCACCATATCATATTTTTAGCATAAATATTTCATATTTATGAAAATAAAATTATAAATTTATCAATTTAATATAATTTATAATATCTAATTAATATAATAATTTTATTTTAACATGAATTATTATTATTATTATAAAATAGATAAAAATAAGATATAATTTTATGTTTCATTTTATAAATGATAATTGAATATATATTAATGCATAATAGTAGTCCATTGCTAATTACAAAATTAGTTAAAATATTTACATAAACTTCCTGAAATTAAGATATATATTGTTAAAATATTTTCAACAGATTTGTTAGAATATATATATATATATATATTTTTTTTTTATTAAAATGAAAAGATATCCTAATTAAAATAGTTACATATATTTTATATTATTATCTTTAATGAAATACATGTTAATTTTTATACATGTATTATATATTTTGTGAATGCTAACCCCTGTTACCAACATATTATATTTTGAACATAAATACTTCTGAAAATAAAAATATAATTTATTAATTTCATATAAATTATCATATTTAGTTAAAACTTTTATTATTCTACATTTTACTAAATGTATTAATGTATAATAATATATGAAAACTAATTACGAATTATTAAAATATTTACTCAGAATTTTTGAATATTAAGATCTTGTTGAAATATTTTAAACAGATTTGTTAGATTTTTTTTAATGAAAATATTTATATTTAAAATGAAAAGATATCAAAAGATATTATGATTAAAGTAGTTGAAAAGATGATCCAAATTAAAAAATCACACATGAAAGAACTCATGATTTCTATTTTAATAGATAAGATTTTTATACAACTATTATATATACATTGGTTGAATTATTTCAATCAGTTTAGTATTTTTTAACTATACAATGGTTTATATTACCTCTATGTATAATTTATTAAGGAATCAAATATGTGTTTGTTAACAAATCCGTTTTTATGGGAGTTGATTGTTAAATTAGGAATAGATGAATGATAACCGATTTCTAGTTATGGTCCATTTTTTAAAATATCACACATAAATTAAAGTTATGATTTCTTTTTTAATATATAAGATGATTTGGAGTTTTACAGATATAAAGTAAAATATTTTTACACTTACAAACGTCTCATTGTCTTAATTGTCATAAATGTTCTCTTTTAAATTAAGACTGGTAAGTGTAAATAAAAAAATAGTCTAAAATTTATACGCATGCAAGAAAAACAATTTTTTTTGTTTTCAGCATAACGGGAGATTTACTTTAACAAAAAAAAAAAGAACTACAGCATTTTAAAATCATATAATGGAGATCTTATTGGATTAAGGATAGGATTTAATTTTTTTTTTCAAATCCCCTCTTATTTTATTTAGCATTTATAAATTCTCTATGAAATTCAAACTTATTGGATTAGTCAATTGTATAAGTTCTCGCAGTTTCTAGCTTATTAAAAATATGGACTTTGTCAATAAAATCTAGCCAATGAGATTTGGTGGATTTGGATGATATTTTGTAGTGACAAAGCAATGGATTGAAATACCACGTCCCATTATGGTATTTGAAACTTTTTAAAAATGAATAAAAAAACATTTACTTCACATTAAAAAAAATATTTGAAATGAAAAAATATTAAAATTAAACATAGCTTTTAATATATTAATAAAAGGATAAAATATAAATTTTCGTATATTTTAAATAAGTATTTAAAATTTTAAAAGTTTTTTTTTAACTCTTGACTTCCTTCAAAAACCCTTAAAACTTGTAACAGTTTTTTTTAAGGATTTATTCAAAGCTCATATTTTTTTGGATTTGATCAAATCTTGAATTTTTTCAAGTATAATTCTTTCAAATCCTTGATACAATAAATGAAATTTCGTATGGACACCACAAAAGAGCAACTCGAGCGAATCCAAGAAAACTAACTTGCTTTATTAATAATCACTTAAACAATCCTACAAGATCTGTTTAATCAGGTTTACTCAACGCCACAACTTGACTTGAGACGGACCAATTCTTAATCTACCCAATGCACAGTGGTCGAGACAGACCTCACCACTTGCTCACTCAGAATCGCAGCTTTGAACACTTAAACTCGATAACAATCAATAATCCCCAAAGCCGTAACCTAGCTAATGAACTCTATCCCCAATATATACTCACGTATCCTATTGTGATAAGCACAGATTCTCCCGATATCTTCTTGTTTGTTCTCTAACAGATATCCTAGAATCTTGAGTCATTATCTTCCGAACGGCTCCTTGTATTTCGCTCCAGGTGTAACACCCGCTCCACGTTGTGTGACACCTCAGCCTTTTTCGCTCAACTAAACTTGAGCTCACTTGTGTGTGACACAATCTCTTGTCCATGTAACACTCCAAACATCATGCTCAGAAACCTGAGCTTACATTCTCCCCCTTTTTATCTTAATGTGACATCTCAAGCACCTGTCATGAAACATACACACCAAAACCCACAAACAGCAAAGCACTTGCACAAAGACACTCAAAGTAAGCTGAAATCATATGCATTCATTGATAGAGTCTAGATCATCCAAGATTAGACACCACTTAGTTCTAGAAAGTTCAACTACACTGCATAATTGAAACCGAAACAAGCAGCATACGAAAACAGAGAAAAAACAAATACGGCAACCTAGCAACTATCTAGAAATCCTACTCCTCCTCCTCATCACCGCTATCAATGATATGCACTGGCTCCTCTCCAACATACTCTCCCCCTGCTTGAGTGCATCATTAGATAAAACAGCCATGTTAGATTAATAAAAGATAAGGAGAGGGAAACACTTACTTCGACTGCGAAGCTGAGTTGCTCGAATGTCATTGATAACCTTCTGAAGGTCGTCGACCAGATTAGGTGGTTTGCTAACTCCCCCTATTCCTCTGACAGCTTTACCATCTTTGACAAGAGCAGTGGGATGTCCTGTGAGCTCTTCATCTCTTTCACGGGAAGGTACAACCCGCTGAAAGTGCAACAACTGATGAATGAGAGAAGGGAACCCAATTCTTCGCTTACGATCATCAGCTGAGTGGGCCATATCCATGAGCTGTTCATATGCAACAATACCAAAGTCAGCTCGATTGTTGTGATGAAGCGCGTAGAGGAACCTGAGGCGATCTGGATGCATGAGTGTGTAGTTCATTGTAGGCATCCAATTTGTACAACAGAGTTTGTACAACACTTGATTGTCTGAAGTGAGAAGTTTTGAGCACATTCCTTCCCACCTTTGATGACGTCCCTCGGTGAGAAATGTGACCACAGTATCTAGATTCTCGGAGTACATATCGTAGTTAGGGTCTCCTGGGCTCAGAGAATACATAAGATCAATTATGCTTGGAGACACCTCATACATGACTCCACGCACATAGACAGCAACACCACCACCATTCCGGACATTCGTAGCATCTTGGAGGTTTGCTAAGAACTCCCACACAAGGTCAGGGACATACGGCTCACCATCAATGGCTGTGTAAATCATCCCAGAGTGAACCACAACATTTTTGACTTCCTGCAGCTTCTCATCATCAAGAGGGAGATACTGATGATCGATGAACTTCTTATCAACAAACTTCAGGTATCGTTGATAAGCTTCCTCGGTTGCAAACAGAGGACTGTAAGGCTCAGCCGGAGGTTGGTAACTCTCAGGGTCTTCTAGGAGTGTCTCCTCGAACAATCGGCGACCTTCTTCATATCGCGGCTCTTTGGGAAGAAAGGAGATAGATTCACACGATTGACGCCGGCTTGATTCACCAGCTTCAGGGCGAGATCTCTTCTTAGGAGTGCCAGAGGTTGGATCGGAGGAAGGAGTTTGCGGAGACCCGGAGGTTCCTCGACGAGAGCGAGTTCGTTGATGCATGTCGAGAGAGATGAGAAGAGAGATAGGGTAAGGCGGCGATGAGACCTAGAAAGGACCAAGAGACAAAAACACAAATATACACTTTTTGGCATGGCCCATTAGTGCATTAGTAATTCTTGACACATTAAAGATCAACACAACCGGCCCATTAGTCCTTTCAATTGAGTTCCTTCTAGTCATATTAACTCCCACGAGGACACTCTAAGCAAGACACATTTGACCGGTCATTGAGTTCTTCTAGTCTAAATCGAACATGCCTATTCTAAGAATCAACTTAATTATAGGACTAACACTTGCAAGAAAAGATAATCTATTTACACTCTCTTAACTACTGTTCCAAGAAGATTGC